TCTGGCTGTGCATTGCACTTCCCGCTAGGAATACTGCACCAGACTGCGTGGCAACAGGGCATCAGAGCGGGGGGACTGACCGCCTGCATGGGAAAGGACCTCTGCAAAATGGATCCATACTGCAGAGTGTTGGAGAGGAATGACTGAGGTCACTTCCCTGTGACCTGCCACCTGATGCAGGGGGGACGGTATCTGAAACAACCTCTGTCTCTTCCTAGAAAATATTTCCTAGCTCAATCACCAGAACGGGGCTGGATGCAGAAAGCTCCCTGGCCTGAGTAATGCCGCCACTCGGATACTACAGCCCTGGGGGCCCTGAACTCCCCGCAGCGATCTGGTTTCACTTCCGTCCAGTCAGCCATGGTTCTCCACACTTGTTCCTCCCAAATATCAGCATGTTCTCGCAAGGCGAAGATGAGCTGAATTTCTAACATTCAAACAACCCATCCTGGACACGTAGGAGGGAAGGAATCTGCCCTTTAAAATCAATCAATCAGTCAATCCCCGTGGCTTTTTGACATGAGAAATTCAGAGTTGTGCGGCCCATGGCCCTTCGAGCCAGCTCTCCGAGGCGGTGTGGGCAGGGCCTTGAAGGTCTCATTGCAGACTCTGCAGAAGGCATTTCCACCACGGTTACCACTGCAGAGGAAGAGTGCTGTGTTGTTTCTTTCCAGTTGTTTCCCACATCTGTCATGTCTCTGGGTGCTGGTGCCTGGTTCCAGGTCTGGCTGGGGGGTTTGCCAGTGGGCCCCAGAAAAGCCCCTTACAATGGGAAACGTTGTTTCCTCCAGCAATGCCAGGGAGTCTTCCACTGTCTCTGGAAAGTCTCAGGGCTGGGCAGGACTGTCTGGGGATCAGAAAGCCTTTGCACCCCCATTGGTGGATCCCAGCTTGTTCCTTTGCAGGGCTAGTGCACAGGCTGCCTCAGTTTCCCCAGTGGAGGGGGTCAGAGCATGAGCAGCCCCAGCAGGTTTTCCTCTTATGGTCACTGCCAGGGCAGTCCTAGGGGAGTGAGGCTGGTAAAGCAGTGATAGGGAAGTGGCCTCTCTCCTGTCTCCTCATCTCCCATATCCCCACAACCTACTCTCCCGGGGTTTTCATGCAGATGCTGATGGGGAACCTGGATGGCAGAAGACATTAGATTTCCCTTAAATCCTTGCTAACTTGTAAACTGGTTACCAGTGCCCAGGACCAAGTGCTATTTGTTGATGGCTCCCCCTCCTCCTTTTATTTCTGTCTCATGTGGTAGTTGTTGTGTTCTCTACCCCTTGTTTCCTAGTGGGGCTCAGTGGGGCTTCTTTAGCCATGGAGCAGCCTATGCCCTGCAGGTCCCCAAGGGGCTTTGTGTAGCAAAGGAGGCACTGCCAGGGTTAGACCCCAGGATGCAATGCACCTGCTGATCTAGACTTGCACAGCCACCTGTTCCCAACTTTGCTTCAGCTGCCTGGTTTGGGAATGGCTACCCCCATCTGAAGCTGAATCAGAATCGGGGTGACTGTGTAAGCGAGTGCCTTCCACCCAGGCTGCCAGGCCCTACATGCTCTTTCCTTCAGTAACACAAGACATCTCCTCAGTCTCAGTGTCCTCCCCTGCAAATGCACTAGGCTCTCGAGGCTGTCCCTGGAGGCAGAGGTGCCCTTCCTTGAATTTTAAGGAACTAGAAGTGTGTGGAAGAAGATGAGGG